CACAGAGGCCAACTGCACCCCCACCTTGTGGGGAGCTCGTTTCCACAGCCTGTGCTTCAGGTTTCCCTAAAAGTCCGTTACTAATCTTAAACAGTTGTCTCACCTACTTTACAGGCAGAATTCTTAAACTATATACTTTTTTCCTTTTTAATAATATGAGGTACCTTTTTGTTTGGTTGTTTGTCACTTTCCTGTGGGAATACACAGATTTCAGACAAATAAAGCATGGCTTCTTTGTCTTACAGGCCAGATACTCACTGCAACAGTTCTTAGAAATGAAAGGGAAGCTATTTCTTTTCAAAGTACGTTGAAAAAAAAAAGTCAAAACAACAATAACAAAAAACCCACCCCATCCTATTCAACATAATAATTTTGCTTCCAGAGTGCAGGTGGATTAATTCACTAGTCACCATCAGTAGGGAGGGTGTCAGGCTCAGGCAGACACTTCCAGCCTCTCTAGACTGTGTGACTTCTCCTTCCAATGGGGCACTCATCGAGGTAATTACATCATGCTACCAGCCAGGTGGGGCTAGACTCACTTACTTGGCCTTAAGGTGCAGTACCAAAAGGTGTATAACAGACTACTGTTGGAGACATTTGACTATGGGCTCTGGTTTTGCACCTCTAGCAGTAATTGCATTCTCCAAATACAGAAAAAGATGGCTTGTCAGCGATATTTTTACTGTAAAATACTAGAATGTATTTTTAAATCTGTAATTTGAAAATAGTAATATTATGACATTATGTATTGCAGAGCAGTCTCCTTGAAAAGGGGAGTTACAAATTTGATTGACTGTTAGAATTTCAGGTAGTATTCCTAGAAGTGACAAATATTTGTAGCTATTTTTAACCTGCAAGGAAGGTGGATCGCAAATGACTAATTGTCCATAGAAACTGATTGACCTTGTAATTTCATTAAGATAAAAATGTAGGCTGATCTCTAAATTGGATATTGCTTATTTTCATCATTTTTATTAATGAAATATAATTATAACAAAATAATCTTCTATGCTTCATACCAGGAACAGAAAACTAGGGTCTATTTTAAGCATAATCTATCAGTCAAAGAAGAACTGCAACAAAGAATCCTAATTTCTCTAGAAAAAAAAAATGGTCTAAATAAAGCCTGCCAACTTACCCTGCTTGTGGTTTTTTTAGTTAGGTTATTTCCTCCACTTTTAACTTATCCCCTGCACCTCTTTGTTACAGTACATCAGTTGTTGCTGTTCCTAAATCCATGGCATTTAAAAAATATATTGCAATGAAGTGGGATGCGCCACATATTGAGCTCTGAGGTTCCAGCCGAATTTGGGGGCCAGCATAGGCCAGTTAGCTCTCAGCAGTGAGTCTCTTCTCTCCCTCTCTTTGAAAGCACACGGAAGACACACTGAAGCGCTTTGTTTTGTGCTTTCCTCCGTGTAATATTTTACTTCATTGCCAACTGCCCAACTGATTTAATGGATAAAGCCAACGCACATAATTTTATTTTTTCCTCTGGGCATTATTAGTTCAGCAAACTATTCTTGGCTTTAACACAATTAGAGGTCTCCAAAATATTCCAGTCCATAAAAGTTGTGAATACTGTTTTGGTAATGTTCATAGACAACGTTCTTCAGCTGGCCTGTGCTACTGCAAAAGCCTGAAGGAAAAGATAGGAAGGCTTTGGTGTGCACATGACCATAGGATACCCCAAAGGCTGATGGGAAGGGTGCTTCCTAACTGTAGTTGCTCTCCTTCGCACCCCAGGAGTGGAAAGCAGAGCCGCTCAGCACACTCGCTCACACTCTCCACTCTCGCTCTTCAGTGACCAGCTCAAAGATCCAATAGAGTCTGTTCCTTATACTTTGGGGCAAGAAGTTGGGCCTTCCCACTCAGTCTACACTGGCAGAGAGTATGGAGTCTATAGATCAGCTATAGAGATGCCACACTAGATCTTCATGTCAGAAAGTGTGCAGTCACGATCTCCCTGATGGCTCTTCCTAGAGATAGCTAGGTCTTTTAACATAAGACAGAGACAAACTTGTTTTCTTCATACCACAAACTAAAATTAAAACACATTTATATTATTCCATGTTGTATTCAAACAGGCAATTTAAGTCAACACTCATCCACAGGTTTGATCAGTCTTGGCCCAGTGATTTCAGAATATGAAGATAACCGGGTGGTCTTGCCCAACACTGAACCATAAGACATAGAAGTGGCACCGAAGAGGGTTCTAAGTGTCACAAGCTCATACACTTTTCATTAAGTGGATTAATATTAGGATAGACTTTAAAATAAGTTTAATACACTAAATTAAAATCTAAACTTTGAAATCTTCTTTACAATTGTCATTAAAATATTGAAGGTTGAGCCTTTAATCCCAGCACTCAGGGAGGCAAAGGCAGGAGGATCTCTGTGAGTTCGAGGCCAGACTGGTCTACAGAGTGAGTTCCAGGACAGCCAGAGATACACAGAGAAATCCTGTCTCAAAAAAAAAAAAAAAAAAAAAAAAAAAAAA